TTACAATCTGTTGTGCTTGTAAGTCATTGTGGAAATCATCTCCAATTTGAAAATTGTCCTACAAGCATAACAAATGGAAATTGTAATAATTAAATAAAAGTCTTTCTTATAAGCATACATAATACAATTACATCTTGTGGACAAGTAATATCAGTTACAAGAACAGCTTGGATGACGGCAGATTTTGTAGTCTCATCAAGATCCAGCCACGACTTGACATCTTTCACAGGGCACAAGCTCTTAATTTGAATTCCTAACTTGTTAGTTGCTGGAGTGGCATACTTGCCAGTCATTGCATTCAACCCATGATCGATGTGAACATAACATTTTTTCCCTTTCTTGGCTCTAATTATTTTTTGTATGCCTTTGCCAAGTGTCGGTCTGCGTACACGTAGGGGTTTCGAAGTCCCTATTAACAAAATAACAACACGAAACTTGGCTACAAATTGGCTACAAAAAAACAATGGCAATGGCAAGTGATAAGTGACAAATTTGATACACTTTAATCTTACTTATGCCACTTGGCTGCGTTACGGATGGGGCTTGTGTCTTATCAGAATCAACAATTGGTTGGCTAGTGGCATGATGTGATGGTCCCACATTTGACATCTCTTGGAGAACAGGAGATGGAGCAACGGTTGATCCTAAAGGAATAGTATCCAGCGAGTCTGTTATTGTGCTCGTGACAGTCTTTTTCGGAAGCCAACCAAGGACCATTTTCCAATCTGCAATAACACAATTAATAGTATAAAACATGATATACATGAAATAAATTATACAAACATAAATTAGAAAGCATGAACTAACTCAATGTATATCATGCTTAATTACATTATAAAGCATGATATACATGAACTAAATAAAATGTAAACAATAAAAATAAATAAGCTGATTTGTTAAGCATGATATAAAGCATTATAAAGCAAGTTAACCGACCTTGAACTGAGGGGTTAGCCTGTTATCTGCCTGCTGTTGTGCTGTTTGCTAATCTGTTTGTTGCTGTGCTGTTTGGACAAAAGGAATAAGCTGGTCTGTTTGCTGCTGTTGATGAGTAGTTTGTGTTGCTATTGTTGATTTTGGATGTTTTGTTGCCTGCTGCTATTTGTGGAATGGTGTGTCACAGGGGAGCTTTGATCTGCCTGATGGTGAATCTGTTTTAGTGGGCTGCAGAGGGCTATCTGAAATGTTGTATCTATTGTTGGTCTGATATGCTAGGCTGCTTTGTCCAAACAAAGTTTTGTGGTTGCTGCTGCAAGAAATTGGAGTTAAAGCTTTAATTCCCAATAAAATGAATCAACTACAAAAGCATTTATTGATCATTTAGCTGTAAGCTTTTAATTTTTCGGATGAAATTACTTGAGTGCGCTAAATATTGATTTTCAGCAAGACAGTCAATTATAAGGTAACTGGAAAATGAACAGAACAGAAGAAACATGTCATAAGTGTCTACTTACTGCACCACGGTTCTGGGTAAACCATGCAGACATCGAGATTGTTTAACTTCATCACTGCACTCAGCTCATATAGCGATCCCGGGTTTACCCTTGTTGTACAGTGATTCGGACATGTGTCCGTGGATGTTGGTTGTTGTTTATTATCTTGTTTGCATCCTTTTTACTTTGTATATTGAGTATGGGATGTGTTGGGCAGGTTTGTTACAGGTTGGTTGTGTTTGGGAGCCTAGTGTTGTTGTCCAGGTTTTTGGCCCTTCGCTCGAGCCAGGAGTTTGTCGCTCGAGCGAGAGTGAGGTTCGTGTCTGGTGGGTCGAGCCAGGGTGGCTTCGCTCGAGCGAGTGTTGCGTCTGGTTCTGGACCTGAGAGTTGCCTTTCTTGGCTCGAGCGAGCTTCCTTCGCTCGAGCGGTTTGGGTTTTTCTTCGCTCGACCGAGAACTTCTTGGCTTGAGCAAGAGTTTTCTGTGTCTGGTCGCTCGAGCGACCAATTCTTCGCTCGAGCGAGCGTGTTTTATATCAGCGGACAGTAGCGATTTTGAACTTCAGTTTTTCATTTCTTTTTTTGATCAAACCCTAAATCCGAGACCCTCTCTCTCTAAACTTACACCCTCTCTAAGATTTGATCTCCCTAGAGTGTGAATCTAGCCTAGAGCCTTTGTTAAAAAGATAGAGGGCGTTGAGAGCTTTGATTTAATCTGAAAAAGTTTGGATTTGGAGCAAGTTGATCTTCGAGTCTTCATCTCCTTTTTGGCTAAAACTTCAAGGTAGAGTGGTAATTATGGGAAATGGCCTAATTACATTGTTTAATTAATTGGGATAATTAATTGTGGGAAATGAGGAAATGAAATGTTGATTGAATATCCATTTGTGCATTTATTTTCTGTTTAGAAATAACTGCTTTGGGCTATCGGTGGAGGATAGTCGTGATTGTTGTAGACAATGTATGTTGATTAGGCAAACTGAAACTAATCAATGGAATGTGTCATGGAACTTGACGGTTGATAGAATACATTAATAATATGTATTGAGTGACTGTATATAGAACCCATGTGTTTGTTTACGTTATGTGTAGAGGAGGAGGTGGGGGATGTACTCCGCGGTTTAGGGGCAGATAGGGGATGTTCCTCTAAACCGGATAGGTATTTGGAGGAGATAGGGGATGTACTCCGTAGACAGTGCTCATATGCTTGTCTAGAGAAGTGAAGATAGAGCTCATATGATATCTGTTGTAGAGTGTGGATACAGCTTGTATGCTTATCTGTGGATATTGTTGATATACATATCTGTTGTAGAGTGTGGATACAGCTTGTATGCTTATCTGTGGATATTGTTGATATACATATCTGTTGAGAATGTGTATAGCTTATATGCTTATCTGTGAATGTGGGATATTGTTGTTATACATATCTGTTGAGAATGTGGATACAGCTTATATGCTTATCTGTGAATGTGGGATATTGTTGTTATACATATCTGTTGAGAATGTGGATATAGCTTATATGCTTATCTTAATGTGGGATATAGTTTTTATACATATCTATGAAAATGATGATAGAGCTAGCATGCTTATCTGTTGAAAAAGGGAAAATGAAAGGTAACTTAGACTCGTAAGTTGTATGACATAAATGTATAATTTATGTGAATGTATCTGTGTTAGCCATCTATCAATTGCTAATCTTTTAGTCATTGTTCATGGTTCATGGTTGGTTTAGTGCATTTCTACTGGGCTGTGTCTCACCCTATATGGGAATATCATTTTCAGGTACTGGTAGCATGCCACCTCCAAGGACATAGCTTGGGAGGCTAGAGGCGGACATAGTGTAGTTGTTTTACTTTTGATGTATTACATGTAACTTCAAGCCAAGGGCTTAATGTGTAAACGAGTTAGTACTCTTTTGTTGTAACCAAGTGTTAACTTGGAAAGCTGTAAGCCCGTAGGGCATTTTGTTTTGATGTTAACATGTAATACTTATGTAATGAAACTTTAATGAATAAAAGAATGTGGTTAGCTTCTATGTAAATGCATGTCTTATCTGATGGGTTTAATGTTGCTATTTTGAGGGCGTTACAGCTCAAGACCTATGTATCCTCCTCTAACAATCACAACCTTTCCATTTTTCTTTGCTTTAATTTGGTTGATTTAAAAAGACCACAACAACAAATCTTTGACGTAATAAGATCATCATGATTACCCAAAGGAGTGTACTAGCCAAAAGTGATGATAGTAATCTCAGAGAATGTAGAGTAAAGCAGCACAACCAAGTGATTAGTCGTATGATCCTGACAACTGCATTGTCTTAATAAAATAAACAACTAACCATTACCAGCACCTGGTTGATATAAGTAATTACCAATCAACGAATTTGAAAATCATGGGCTAAATGATGACGGTCAGAATCAAGTTTCAGTTAATCTGATGAAGATAATTCAAGTAGTCCTTGATTTTTTGCTTTAAAACAATTCATTTGGCTCTTGCTCCTATTAAGACCATCAACAGGAAAAAAAAAGAGCAAAAAGTCCATGGTTCAGTGAAAGGAGTGTTTAGCTTTGCTTCAGTTCTCTTTGTTGTTCAAGCCAAGCAATAACGCAACACAGTTTTCACAACATAGATGAATGCAATCCTTGACAACTAGATAATGATTTTTCCTAAGTATCGTTGGATTGAATTATCGTCTCTTTACCCCTTATTGTTACAGAGGGAGGTTTGAACTTCCACAATCCTTCCATGTGCTAGCTTTGAGCATCAAGTTGTGGAGACAACGTCAATGTAATATGTGACTGTGGGCAAATTTCTTTATAGCTAAATATTGTCATGGAATTCATCCTCATTCTTGCGCTCTCCATACATTTCATTATCATACTTGGAGGAGGCTTTTTAGAAGCTAAACCTTTCATAGAAGATATACGACATACCTTCCTAATATATGTTGTGTATACTTCTTCAGGGTAGTTGGCTCGGAGATGGTGCTAGTATTGACAACAAAAGTACATAATTTACCATGTGCTGAACCATAGTAAACGATCATGAATGATGGAACTTAAATTTAGTGGAACATCTCCCATCTTCTGAGGATCTGATTATTTTGAGTTGGTCCAAATGATGGGCATTCTTAATTGACTCTGCTCATGAGGGTGTTTATTCTCAAGGTTCCACCACATAGTACATTTGTAACTAATTGTAGAAGGAAATTCCTATTAAAATATATTCATGTGGAAATTATTTCATTACATCATTGCATTTAACTTAGTGGTTGCCAAATGTTGGAGTGTCAACCTCTAGATGTAAATGTGGATTAGACAGGACATTGGAGTTTATGGAGCATTGGCATTCTACTAACAATCTTGCTTCACAGATTGTGATGCACTCAGTGAACTTACTTGGTCTTAATTTTTCCCATCATATTGATATTATTCATCAAATTAGTTTCTGCTCGTCCAAATGCTCCGAATCTGATCATTAGCCCATTGAGCTCATCAAGGTGTCACTAACTTTTTCGCATTTGGTGGGGAAATTTGAAAAGGACGAAATAAATAAATAACTCAGAACTGGATTGCAGACACTTTATTGGTTTTTATTATTTGCAGGCCTTCTATAGATTTTGATAATATTGCTTTTGTTTAGGGGTGCAACTTGGGCTGGTTCAGTCAGGTTGAGAGGTTGTTTAGGCCAAACCCAAATTGTGTTGAGAGTTACCCAAACCAGCCCAAACCCAACCTCCAACCTGATTTTGTCTTCCCAAGTCTGGCCCGAGCTCAATAAATTGAACCTGGCTAAGCCCAAATTGCCCACAAATTTATAATAGAATAGCATGGATGTAATTTTTATCGAAAAAGCCATATGGTCAAAGTGTAAAATAAAATACCGTTGTGTTATTTCTTGTGCTAAGTTTTGGACAGGAAATAGCATTATGCTATTTTAGCATTATGGTCAAAGTGAGTGTTTTTGCTGAACTGTGCTAGTTCAACAATGCCACATCTTAAAACTTCACCGCTGGAGCTCTAAAGCTCTTCACAGCTTTCTAAATCTGTGTAGAATTTAGTTCTCATATATATAGGCTATAGCACCAGTAACTTTTCAAGCAATGACTTCAAGTTAGTTTCATTATCAAAATGGTTAAAAAAATTGAAAAACAAGCTAACCTTAGCTTGCAGATAACAGTTCCCAGGGTCAGTAAACTACAATTTATGTGGCAACCCTCCTTTAGCCTGGTGCCAACTGATAATGACTGAGATGCACGCTCACTTCCTGCAAGATCAACAAAATTCTACACAGAATGTATCAAAAAAAATATTAATATAGCGCAACATGGCATATATTAACATCTTAATAACCATTCAAATTAATCTAACAAAAACTTGACGATCCATACCACAGCAGCTGTAAGGGTGCTTAAGTAGTCCTTGACTAAAAATTGCCGAGCAGAACTTTCAATTGTCTGCAAAAACCCATTCATCAATTCAATGGAAAGAACAATAAGTTATGTTTAGAACAATCATTGAAGAAAACAACATTCCTACCAATCTGATTATTTGATGAGATTTGGAGCTTGTTTCATTCAGGGTAGTTTCCCCTATTTGTCTTTGAGCTTCATGAATGCACCAAGACATTTAGAATATGCAGTCATGATCATCTAGTAAAAGTCAGATGACTAGAGAATATCTTACCTTCGCAGATGGAGAGGAGTTCCATTACATTATTCCAGTCTCTGAGAGGTTCCTCTGTGAGTTTCTCAGTAACAGTCCCTCTCTGTGAAATAGCTAAGAATTAAGCATAATGGAAAAAAATCAAATACTAATTACTTAGTCGACCAAGAAAGTAACTGACCTTGGGATCATCTAGAAGTCTAAGTGGAGAACTATCTGTGCTGAGGAGGTCCCTGACAGATTCATTGTAAATCTCCATAGCAGAGAACTTCAAAAGAAATTCTCTTTCATTGTGCTGCAAATAAAACAAACATGTAAACAACGAACAGTTGAAGCCTAAGAAGCATAGACACAAACATGCAACATGACACAGATACACGCCGACGCTGAAAATTTTCAAAAAAGCAAGACAACACTTGTGTGACACATGCAAAATATATAGTTTTATATGTTTGTATCTGTCATTTATTATATATATGAATATTTTATCAAAAATAATAATTAAGAAAATGAAGCATAACATTAATTCCTAAAGTTTCGCAAATAGGCATAAAACTATATTGTTTTTCTTTTAAACTTATAATGTGTTTCACGTGTGTCTAAGAGGTGGATATGTGTGTCCTTCAAGTATCCAAGGCATGTCAGGTTCAACACGCATTGGGAAGTGTCAAATGAGTGTCAGTGTCCGACATAGACACACCATCTTCTTAGAAGTGTTGGTGCTTCTTAGGTGAAAGCCCAAGGAACATAGTACTATAATAGAATGCAAGAACATCAAGTAGTAGAAACAGTGAATATTAGTAGTTTCTTAATTACCTTCTCTATATAATCATAAATATCTGCTATGGCATACTCAGTAATTCCCGTCATCGTGAATGTCTTCCCACTGCTTGTTTGTCCGTATGCAAAACAATAGCTGAAATTTATGCCCATTATTTGACATAAAGAAAATTGTCAATGGAATTCAAGTGAAATTCAATATCAGGAAAAATGGAGAAGCAAAGAGAAATAATACTCACAGTTAATACCACTGACAACTGAAAGAGCAACGTCCTTGGCTTCTTTCTCATACACCTCCTTTGTGGAGCAGTCACTCCTAAATACTCTGTCTAACAGCGAAAAAAAGAAAAAGAAAGATCAACACGAGTATCCAAGCCATGACACCAATGCTGATATGAAATTGTAACAATAATTCTTCGTAAGTTGCATTCAAACTTAGGTTTCTCAAATCTAACATACTGAACCATATGCAAAGCTTTACGTTTAACAGGAAACTTCACAACTTAACTGTGGCAATAGATTCTGTAAAATTGATACCCTGACAGACCTGAATTTGAAGGCCTTCAACCCTTTTACAGTTCTTTTATTCAAAATTAAACAAATAGTGTATGGACAAACTATATTCTCAAACTACAGTAAAACATGATTAGCAATCATACTTTTTAAAAAATATGGTTGTTAATCACGTTTTTTACTTAACACATACCACTATCTGAACTACCTTTTAGAGGCAGGCGGACTTTTGTCGTTTTATTTCTTTGATGTATTACATGTATATTCAAGCCAAGGGCTTAATGTGTAGATGAGTTAGCACTTTTTTGTTGTAACCAAGTGTTAACTTGGAAAGCTGTAAGCCCGTAGGGCAGTTGCTTTTGTTGTTAACATGTAATACTTTTGTAATGGAACTCTAATTAATAGAAGAATGTGGATATTTTGTATGTCAATGAATGTCTTAATTGATGGTTTAATGTTATTTTTTTGAGGGCGTTACACGTCCGCTCTGCTAAATGCGGCCAATTCAATGGCAACAGACTCCGATTTTCACACTCCGTGACGAACCAAGTTTAAAAAAAGAAATTTAAAATTCATAGGTTCCGTTTGATTAGAAAGAAAATTTGATAGAAAGTGAAAGTAAAAGAAAATGAAATGAAGGAAAAGAAAAGAAAATATATTTTATTGTAAGTATTTGATTAAGATAAAAATTTTGTAAGAAAAAGATAGAAAAATTTAAAAGTTTAGTTATAAATAACTCACACATTCAATTTTTCTTGTATTTTTTGCAAGAAATTAAAAAAAAATAAAAAAATAAAAAAATTAGTTACAATGTTGATATGGGTTGTACAAGAAAATTAGTTTTCTTATACTTTCCACAACTTTCAAATTAAACAAACTCATAGAAGTTAAATTTTTTTTCATTCTTTTACTTTCTACCTATTGCATTCTAAACAAACTGAGCCTGAAAGACAACTTTGTCAAATTGTATGTAGATCATGTTAAAAAAAATTATAAATTTTTTTTAAAAAGTTCCATTGTTAGATAGGGAGTGTTTTTTCATATATATATATATATATATTTTGGTTTTTTATTGAACTTTTTGTGAAAAAAATTCAAAAACAATTTACACTTTTAAATTCTACTCAACTAGATGAACTAGAAAAGTAATAAATAAATAATTTTTAAAAATTCTTTAAAGATAAAAGAAAAAAAAAATCCAAGGCAAATTCGATTTTTGTTGGTTTTCTTTTTGGATTTAGTAAACTTTTTAAAAGAAATTTAAGTCCGTGTTTGATTTGTGTTTCAAAAAAAAATATTAAGAAATTTGTTTGAAAAAGTAAAAACTAATTTGATAAAAAAAAATATTAAAAATATAATTTCAAATTTTTTAAATTATTTTTGGCCTCTCAAAAGATAAAATTATATAAAAATGCTAGATTTTTTTTTTCTTTCGACAAATTAATTTTTTATTTTTTAGCAAAAATAAAATAAAATATTGAAAATCAAACCAAACATGGCATAATCTTTTTCTTATTATTTTTTTTTTTAATTATTCCACACTAGACCAACTAGAAAAGTGAAAAGAATTTAATGCAAATTTAAAAAGATCACTAGAAGAAAACAATTAAAATACGTATATAACTTTCTAACTGAATGCCAAACGAAACCTAAATAAATTGCAACCAAATGGTTAGAATGTTTTTGGCTTAAAACAAATATGCATTTTACTTTTTATGGTTGGCAAATTACACTTACCTCCCTTAAGATTGAAAAAAAATATAGTTAGTTCCACAATTTTGACATAATTACATTGACTTTCTCATGTTTTAATTTACATAACACTTAGGCCCATTTTTTATTAGTAATTCGCTAGTTATATGGATTAAAAAAAATGACATTATCATATATTTTCTACTAAAATGTATATTTATCTTTATTTATTTCAGTATCAACTCACATTGACATTAGTTTTGGTCTCATAACTATACTAAAAAAGATTAGTAATGCTAGAGATCTCAAAAGTTCTACCAAATATCTTATATAGGTGTGGTCCACACCCATGTGAAACATTTGGTAGAAATTTTGATAGAACTTTTGGGATCTCTATCATTTTTGGAAACGATAATTAGTGTAATGGTGGTGCCATATGCACCAATTAGTACACTAACTGGTGTACCAACACAAGTTATAACATTATTATTGACCCCACTCATTATACAAATTACAAATATCAAAGACGTCTTAAATTATGTCATATCATCAATTGGTATACTAGTTAGTACATTAGTTGGTACATATAGCATTATTCTTAGTGTAATATTTATATTAAAGGGTTTTTGTAAGGATTCATTAAATACACTTAACTATCTCCACTATCGTAGAAAAGATAAACCACGATAAATATATTTTGTTAGAGACTAAACTACTCTTTTACTTAATTCCTTCTATTTTAACATTATACACTTTTATAATGGAGTTTTTTTTTAAAACTTTTTTTTATCATAAAAACAAAATAAATGCCTCTATTTTTAACTAACATTTCATGGATTTTTTTAAAAAGATTTAGTAATGGATTTTTTTTAAAAATTTAGTAATGGATTTTTTTAAATTAATCTAAGGTCACTCTCCCATTTTTTAGTAATGGAAGAGATCCACAATATTATTTTATGATATCTAAGGTCCCTTAACCCTACACCAATGTATTACAAAGAAATTTGGTATACCTCACGGCTTCAAACCTTCACCACTCTCTCTCTCTCTCTCTCCCTCTCTCTCTCTCTCTCTCTCTCTCTCTCTCTTCTCTCCTTCAAACTCACGCCTCACCTCTTCTCTCTCCTCGCTGCTCTTCTCTCTCTCTCGTCGATCCAGTTCAATCAATTCAAGAAGCCCTATGTCAAGAACTCCTCGGCCACTCTTGCTCCGATTGAACCGTCGTGTAACGCCCTCAAAATAATACATATAAACCCACATTGTTGACATGCATAGACATAAGAGAATAAAGCATATTTCTATTTATCAGAGTATTCATTACAAAAGTATTACATGCTGACAACAAAAGTAAATGCCCTATGGGCTTACAACTTTCCAAGCCAACACTTAGTTACAAAAAAGAGTTCTAACTCATACACATTAAGCCCTCGGCTTGAGTCTACATGTAATATCAAAATAACAAAACAACTAAAAGAGTCTTTAACTCCCAAAACCTTCCAAGCCATGTCCTTGGAGGTAGCATGTCACCTGAACCTGAAAATGATGTCCTATATAGGGTGAGCCACAACACAGTAGAGATATACTAAACCAAATATGAGTAATGACTAAAACAATAGCATTTGATAGATGGTTAACACTTATAAACCAATTTATATCACAATATAGTTCCATGACAATCATGTTCATGTTACATTCCACTTTCCTTACTTATCCAAATCATTTCATAAACATGGCTCAGAACCTGGCCAAACAATTCAATGAGACTATAACTCAATAAAGACACTTCCATACTTCACAATTTACATGAGATTACAACTCACATTAAAAACACTTCCAAACTTCAAATGATACACATATTTGCTGTATCAATACTTCAATTTAATACATATATTTGCTGTATTAATGGAATCCATCCCCTATCTCCTCCCAAACAGGTTTGAGAGTCCATCCCCTATTTTCCCTCAAACCATGGAGTACATCTCCTATCTCCACCTACACAATAGACATATCCCAAGTATATAAACACTCATCATATACAAGGATCAATCAATACACATATTTGATGTATTATTCCAACCGTCGTATTCAATGACATATTCAATGTGATTAGTTTCAGTTTTTTCCTAATCAACATACAATGTCTACAATAATCAAGACTATCCTTCACTGATAGCCCAAAGCAGTTATTTCTAAACAGAAAATAAATGCATTAAACAGATATAATATCAACATTTTCATAGGTGAGTGATTAATTCATCCAACTCCACCATTCAACTTTATAATTCTCCAATTTCATAATTTCCAACTTAATTTCATATTCCTACAAATTAATTATTCAAATTAATTTATCACATAGCTAGGGCATTTTTCCCTAATTCTCAATATCAACCCTAAGGTTCAATTTCGTCAATATAACAACAATAATTTCATTTTTTTCAAGGTCTTATATACCTATGGGATTTAACATTTTGAAAACCCCCTTTTTTTATAAATTACGAATCAAACCCTAACTTTTTCCAAAATTACCCAACAACACCAACTAATCAAAATGACCAAAATTTATGACAAAGCTCATAAGATGGAGTAGGGTATCCCTACCTCAAGATGGAGAGACCAAAGGAGAAGATGATGCAAACTCAAAGTGCTCCAAATCTACTATTTTTCAGATTAAAAGGAAGTCCACACCACGTTTTATCTTTCTTACAAAGAACTAAGGGTAGAAACACACTAAAAATAGATGAAACCCTAGAAAGAAGGTGTATAGAAAGAGAAGGAGCATCTGGCCTTAGGTTTGAATGAAAGAAGATGGTGAAAAAGTGAAGTGTAACCCGTAGCTGCCCACTGATATATTCGAGGCTCGCTCGAGTGAAGAAGTGGTCGCTCGAGCGACCAGACACAAAGAAACCTTGCTCGAGCGTAGAAAGCCTTGCTCGAGCCAACAATTCGAAGCTTCAGGTCTGCAACCAGAAGTACACTCGAGCGAAGAAACTCAAAACATATACCTCACTCGCTCGAGCGAAGGAAAGCTCGCTCGAGCCAAGAATTGTAACCTTCAGGTCCAGAACCAAATGCAGACGCAAGCTCGAGCACAAGACTTCTCGCTTGAGCCACCAGACACATCACCTAACTCTCGCTCGAGCGAAAGAACCCTGGCTCGAGCGAAAGATCTAAAACACAGAGCTCACTCGAGCGAAGACACAAAAATTTGGGCAGCAACCATTTGTTCCCAATCGCAACCAACCTGTTACAAACCTGCCTAACACATCCTGAAACTCAATTATAAGGAATTAAAGGATGACAACAAGATAGATACAAACAACCACCACCACGGAACCTAAGTCTGGAATACTGTACATAAATGGGAAAACTCGGGATCGCTATACGCCATGTGAAGGTCTTCCACCGTGGCTCAGCGACAATCTCTGACCACTCTCGAAGCTTCTTCAGAGCGTTGATCCCCCAATCACATCACCTCTCATCCTCCTCGCTACGGTCCATGAAGAAAGCCATTAAGAACAATCACGGTTGGATGCTAATCAAACAGAGGTAGAGAATTTTGTGGTTCAGGTGGCTCCATCACCCATCCAAGAATGCGCACCAGATGCTCCCGAAAGCAGTTTTCAATTAGCAGTTATAAATAGTGATCACGAGAAACCAGGATCAAATGGTAGTTTCAATGATGCTTCCACAAAAGACATCTCTTCTGGTGAAATTGTTGATTTTGAGGATGAGCCTACCTTGAACACTGTGGTTACTTAATCTGGGCAAGTTTGTAGAATTGATCTACTTGAGGATATCATTGAAGATGCAAGAAATAACAAGGTAGTCTTGCTAGTTTTTCAATCTGTTTATTATGATCATAAGCTACTAATAGTGCAAGTTTACAAAAATTCTTCCTTATTTAATTTTTTGTTATTAGGAACCCTCCCTTATAATCTCAGGACAGTGAAAACAAAACCACCTTGCTGTTAAACCTTTCTCAATACTTTGTGTGAGAAATTTGTGCTAAAATTTCTTTGGTTTGGTTAATTTTCTCTGCCTTGTTTAATTTTTTTCTTTGGTGTTCAATTTTCTCTAGATAGATAGAGAGATTTGAATGTTGATCCAGAGAAATTTGATGTTAGTCTAGAGAAATTTGAATATTTGTCCAGAGAAATTTGTGAAAGGTTCAAGGGTTTTTGATGTTAGTCTAGACATCCAGAGAAATTTGAATGTTAGTTTAGAGAAATTTGAAAAAGGTTCAAAGGTTTTTAATGTTAGTCCAAAGATCCAGAGAAATTTGATGTTAGTCTAGAGAAATTTGAGTGTTTAAGGTCTTGAACCCAAAGAATTTCCAAGGATTGCTTTGTATGTTGAATTCATTATGAATATAGACATAAATATGGTTATTGGATCAAGTCTCTTTTTGTAGTATAAGAATAATGTTGGATCAAAACATTGAAACCTTCAAACTGCAAACAACACAAGTGAATTTCTCTAGTTTGAAGGGATTTTCTCTGGGGTTGAGTAAATTTCTCTGGGGTGGAGAGGGAAATTTCTCTAGGTTGAATCCAGAGAAATTCTCTGGTGAGATTTTCTCTGTGAATATGCATCTAAATCACTGAAGCCATCAAACTGCAGACAACACAAGTGAATTTCTCTGATTAGAGGGGATTTTCTCTGGGCTTAAGTAAATTTCTCTGGGGTGAAGATGAAAATTTCTCTGGGTTGAACCCAGAGAAATTCTCTAGTGAGATTTTATCTGTGATGTATCCAAATAAATTCTCTGGATTGAATTTTCTCTAAATCGATGTTGAGGGACCTGAGACATTATGAAAATATTGAGTGTCTTTTATACTATAAAATCTTAATACCAGAGACCTTAAAAAAAATCCCCCAAAGATAAACCACGATAAATATATTTTGTTAGAGACTAAACTGCTCTTTTATTTAATTCCTTCTATTTTAACATTATACACTATTATAATTGAGTTTTTTTTTTAACTTTTTTTTTAATCATAAAAACAAAATAAATGCCTTTATTTTTAAATAACATTTCATGGATTTTTAAAAAAATATTTAAATGCCATCTATTTTTAATCATAATTAAACTATATGGTGTAAAGAAAATGAATCTAAAAATTGGGGAAAAAAATAAAGAGCATATAATTTTTTTTTATTTTTTATAAAAATAAAAGACAGGAATTTTTTTTTTAAAATGCAAAAATTATATATCCTTTATTTTTATTACACCATATAATTTAATTATGATTAAAAATAGATGACTTAAAATTATTTTAAAAAAAAAAATCCACGAAATGAGATTTAAAAATAAAGGCACTTATTTTGTTTTTATGATAAAAACAAAAGCTTAAAAAAAAAAAAAAAAACTCTATTATAAAAGTATATAATGTTAAAATAGAAAGAATTAAATAAAAGGATAGTTTAGCCTTTAACAAAATATATATATTATATTTTATCTTTTCTATGATAGTGGAGATAATTAAATGTATTTAATGAATCCTTACCAAGTGACACGTGATAACAAAAACCTCTATTAAAAGTTAGGCTAATTGTATTTTCTAATTTACCTTTTTATTTTTATTTTATTTTACCGACATCAAGAAGAAGTTCAATTTGTGCCATAACTTCTCATTGGTATACTATGTGGTGGGGTGATGATCCCCCTATAATTGTGAACGCTTTTTGGTGAGAAATCGTATAAGGAAACACAGATGAAGTGTTTGAAAGAGGAGTTCAAAAAGACAGTAAATTTTAGAAGGAATTAGCTTCACTCCAGTCCGTTATCAGATGAGAGGATGCTATTCGGTTGTTGTGGGTTTTGATTCCGACCCACCTTGATAATTCAAATTATTCAATTTGTAAAACTTGTCGAGTATATTATCTCTATAAAAAATCACGTTAATTAGATATCAATAAACATTTTATTATATCATATTTCCGTCAATGGCATAATTTTCAAAATAAATTGTAATAGAAATGTGATCTGATCAAGTGACTATCAATATCCGATCAATGTGATTTTTTGTACGAATGATGTACTTGATGGACTCTACACATTGAATGGTTTGGATTATTGAGATGGGCCTAAATTAGAGCCCAAAATAACCCAACACTATCCTCCATTCTAATAGTAGATTGGAGAGGAGCTGACTAACCTAATCAAATGAAGTGTTCAAGCTTGATACAAGAATTCGAAAGGACAAACTAAAATATATCAATTCAATGCCTAACCTATTTTCAAATTCCCATTTGGGTCTACCCAATTTTTTCTAGTTTCAATAATGGCAATTCACAAAAAGAGTAAAATTCAACATTGGTGGCAAAATATTCGAGACCACAACCACCACCCTTGCCAACGGTGGCTGTAATTCCTTCTTCGTAGCCATGTTCAACAACAATTGGAATCTCCAAACCCATAACTATGTTGCTGATGATGATGGTGATTACTTCATTGATTGGAACCCAGATTGTTTCGTAGTACTCCTCGACCTCCTCAAAACAAGAGAGCTCTATATCTCCTCGAACATCCCTGAAAATCTCTTTCACAGAGAAGCCCTGTTCTATGGCCTCCTCGACAACGTCTATGTTGGGGATTCGGGATCCCACCCAAGTTTCAGAAATCATATAAAGCAGAAAAACAACACATACCCAAAAAAGACACAATATTTAAGGGAGCCCCTCTCTGCCTCACTCTCTCATGATAGTCACACGTCTCCCTCTCTTACTTAGAGGAAGACTCAACTCACTCACTCTAAGCTCTCTCAACGGTTTCCATGCTCACACTGAGCTCACTCCTTAACTTCTCTATTTATACACCAAGGAAGAAAGAAGGCTGGTTAACACTATATTGCAGATCACTCCAGCCTCTAACAGCTGCTGCGTTCGTTGTACTTCACCGAATTTGGTGCCGTTATTCATAGCTCCGTCATCCAAACTCTAACTTGGTTTTACATGAGTAAAAGAGAAAGAAGATCACCCCTCACATTGGCTGATACCCAACAAATCACCCCCTCAACCCATGTGAGGTGAGCCGCAGCAAAAACTATTGCCAATCCTGTCACGTCCAAAATCTAGCATAGTTTGTATCTCCTTACTGAGACGCTTGCATCCCCTTCAGGTAGAGATAATACACCGGAGAAAATACAAACATACAAGAGGAGAAGGGAGTCTTACATTCTCAACTCAACTCACACCACTCACTAATTCTCTTTTAGAGAGAGCCTTTGCTCATATCTCCAACAAATCTCTTCCACGCTTTCTTATATTGGATGTCTTCACCTGCTATGCTTGAACTTGCGTAACCAAGATATCCGGCACTTCGTAATTGCATGCCCTGTACCCTCCGCTTGGGATGCCTATTGCCACGTATCACTTTGTACAATCAACACTGGAGCAAAATAAAACACCCTTCGTGTTCCAAGCATCGCGCTTTGCCTAGTTAACTTCATCCTTCTTCTTTGCTTGGAGTTTTTACCAGTGAACTTTCAACAACTCGTTTCTGCACACTCTTCTCGCAGCTTTGTACGACACTTTAGCGTACTATTACACTGCTGCATGTCTGTATTTATGCTCCTGCATTTAGTATACTCCTCTATAACTATTGTTTTACATGTCTACATACTACTAGTACTACTCGTATTCTGTTTGACAGTAGCTCCAACTGTCACAGCATTCCCTTGAGCCTGTACTGGTTACCAAATCATCTGTCCATCAATGAAGTGGACTTCTTCTTTGATTGAACCAGATCTTTCGATCAGCTCTTGAGATAATCATCTACAATCCTCTAATCGACCATGACCAATCATGATCTTCCTTGATCCGCTATTTGATTAAGCTTGATCTCCTCTGGCCTCCAATGATCTATCTCTCGATCTGCATCTGGTTATCCAATCCGCGATTAGAATCTACCTATTCTAATCTCTTTAATGAATTTGTAGCGTTCCATAGCATTCGATAACTTTCCTCTGGCTATTAAAGATGACAAACTCCCATGTTTTGACAATATTCAAAAAAACTCTTCAAAATCTCACAATTCTGACCTTGCAGTTGAGTCTGAACAGTTCATTTAGCTAAGACCAACCTTTGCTGGACTTCCGGGCCTCACTGAAAAACTTCCTGAAAGTTGGGTCACACCACCATTTTCTGAATATTTGGGACTCTCAGTAATTTCCAAAAATTTAAGGAATATTCTGTTTATACTAAAGGAATATCCGTTCACTTGTCAGCCACTGTCTACCTGCGTTAGCGTTGACGCCACCACTGCGTCACGCTGACTTCATCGTCTGGACCCCTCCTGAGTCAGGTTGACCCACCCACTTGGCTTGCTGACACCATCTGGACTAGACCCCACCTAGGTCGGATCTGGGTTGGGTCGGACCACCCCTCTATTCTGGTGCTGATGTCATCCACTGCATCATCCTCCACTCAAAAATATTAATTTTCAGGGCGCAGCTAGGGGGTTTTTGAACCCCTGACCAAATACAAACTACAACGCCTTATCCACTTTACCAAAGGCACACCTTGTATTTATTATCCCTCAAATAATATTTAAACACTTTGGCTTTGGTGAAAGTTGCTCATCTTCAATCCCTAGACGAGCGTGTGGTACGTGTCCGAGAGTGGTCCTCACTCGTTAATTTCGGAAGGCATGTAAGCTCCCACCCCAGTCTTCGTTTGGACTCATTTTTCTGGATCTGGACTCATCTCGTCGAGACCTTCCTCCTGGTATGTTTAAAATTCGATTTCGAACAACTTGATTTCTGAGTCATTTTAGAAAAACACTATGTTTTTCCCCCACATCGCTAATTGTATTTTCTAATTTACCCTTCTATTTTTATTTTATTTTACCGAAATCAAGAAGAAGTTCAATTTGTGGCATAACTTGTCAATGTATAGTATGGGGTAATGATCCCCCAATAATTGTGAAGGCTTTTGGTGGGAAACTGTATAAGGAAAGTGTTTGAAGCAGGAATTCAAAAAGACAGTAAAATTTAGAATCCCATATGGGGAAGCTAACTGTTGAAGCTTGATACAAGAATTGGAAAGGACAAACTAAAATATAAATTTAATGCCGAGCCTATTTTCAAATTCCCATCTGGGTCTGCCCAATTTTTTTTCTTGTTTCAACAATGGCAATTCACAATAACATACTAGTAAAATTCAACATTGGTGGCAAAATATTCGAAACCACCACCTCCACCCTCGCCAACACTGGCCATAATTCCTTCTTCGAGAAAATGTTCGACAAGAATTGGAACCTCCAAACCTATAATTTTGCTGATGATGATGGTAATTACGTCATCGATCGGAACCCAGATTGTTTCGTAGCACTACTCGGCCTCCTCAGAATATGGGAGCTCTATATCCCCTCTAACATCCCTGAAAAACTCCTTCACAGAGAAGCCCTGTTCTACGACCTCCTCGACAACGTCTGCTCTACCAAATGCGGCCAATTCGATGGCAACAGACTCTAATTTTCACACTCCGTGACGGCCAAGCACCCGGCAATGGCACCGCGATCCGCGGCAGCCTTGACGGTGGCTGCTATGTAGTGCATGATAGTATGGTACACGTCTATGATTGGATGCTCGAAGAACACCCACCAATCAATCTCGATTACTAGAGAGTTTACGATAGTTGGGTCGATTCAGAGACCATCGTTGTTAGTGCTGGCGGTGGTGGAATGGGTCTGTTCAGTGCAGCAACAGAGGAGCTCAGGCACAGGTTTCAGGTCACTAATGAGGATCATCAGGTGAAAAGCTACACTGCTCGTGCTTTTAACTCAGACTACAAGATTTTTTGTAATTGTAAAGGTAAGAACAACAATGAGTATGGGATTGGTGTTTGGGATCAATTAACTGGCAAGCAAATTAAGTTTTACTATGACCAATATGAGTGGTCACTTGGTGAAGCAAACAGGCTGTAATGGTTACATGGTACTAATTGTTTGATGGTTGCTACTCTGTCACCTAGGAAGCAGTGCTCCTCTTTCATTAATTTGTTGGATTTTAGAGTTAAAAACATGATCGAGCTCTGGTCTCATTGGCCGAAAAATGAAGGCGATGAAGATGATTATCCGACAACCCAGTGGCAGTTTAGAGATGCCATAGCTATGGAGGAGACTAATTCTATATGCCTAGTGAATGAATGTGGGGATTTTGGGTTCTTGGATTTGAGGAGTATTGACATGAGTGTGAGGTGGTGCTTAAACAACTCCACAGTGAAGTTCAAGATGATTATTTTGACTAATTTAAGTAGGTTCTCAAACATACCTTAGTGGTGTTCTAGTTCGGAACTGGGTGTCTTTCATTTTGATCTAATTCGTTTTCAGTTTGTTTTTTAAAATTTGTAGAAGATGAAGTTGCATATGATGCGTACAACAGGTTAAAAGGTGTTTTTGTGTAGAATTATTATTTATTTATTTATTTATTGACTCATTTAAACAGAATAGAGAGATCTTGGGGAATCGAATAGGCAGATTGGTCCGTATTGAAGCCCACACGGAAGGGCTGTTATTATATCGGAGTTTTTTAAGAATTCGTGTGGAGATTGATACACAACAACCACTACCTAGGGGCCTGTGGTTGCACCGGGGACAAGGGCAGTCCGATTCTTGGCTCACTTTCAAATACGAAAAACTTTCGGATTTCTGTTACGACTGTGGCAGATTGGGTCATGAGAACCACACCTGCAAGTTCGTCTCCAAAGAGCAGGGCGCCTCTTCTGGTTATGGTCCGGGCCTTAGAACCAGTAATGCAGGACCCACAAGTCTACCCATTAAACACTATCACCGAAGAGTGGATGACTTAGAGGCTAGTTTGTCTCCTACTCTTACCAGCCGGAGAACAGCAGTTCCACCACCTCCCTTAAGCAAACTGGCGAGTGACAACCCAGACCAAGGACCAACGTCTCAGCCAGAGCTGTTTCTGCCACGATCGTCTTCCAGTACATTGGGTACACCCATGCACACTACCCCTGAGCAGGAGCAACATCAGAATACCCCTAGCCCAGCACTGCCAAGTGGCGGACCCACGCCCACTGCTTCTGTATCTGATAGTAGACAGCTGCACTCCTTCTCACCATCTCCAGTTGGCCCAGTCTATAACCCATTGATAGTAATGGACCACACAGCCCACCCTCTAATTCAAGTTGTGGACATTGGGCAACCTACGAAAGTGGGCTTACCTACAGACACCAACTACTATATTACTGAGCCTCCAGATAGCCCATGCCATTCTGGGGCCTTACAGGGAATGAACTCAAAATTCTTACCAGCCCCTCTTGGAGACATTGGGCCACTGAATCCAGCCCATCCTTCAGAGGGGGGTTCATCTACAGCTCTACAGCAGCTGTCTCTCAAGAGGAAAGTGATAGGGGAGCTTGAATGGGATCTCCACCGTACCAAGGTACAGAAAATGGGCCTGTCAGTACATTTGCTGGAAGCTCCGTCCAACACCCACATCCAGGCTACAAGAAGAGCTACTAGAGAGAATACTGTGGACGCTCGCAAAAAACCAGGCCGGAGGGGCCGATCCAGCGGCAAGCGGGTTGCTCACCCTTTGAGCACAAATCTGGTGGAGGTTTTAGTCGAAGATGCTGTAGGGGCCAATACCACTGCCCAGGGG